TCGGCACTAGTTTACTGTTTGTTGTTTTCAATAGTCCAACACTGGATGAGCTAAACTGTTTCCGTTGCTACTTAGAGTGTAGAGCAAGAAATGTACCGATCTTCGGCCAGTTGTCAGGTTTCTAGCTAGGTCAGTTAAATTGGTTCAGTGAGTTCTCCCGGACATTGTGCGCAACACCTAATGCTGAAATCTCTTGTTGCTCAATAATCTGCTTGGCTTTTGCTCAGCAACCTTTTTATCCATTCAAGTATGTCATACTCGGTCATTTACATCGACTGGATGGAGAGACAACTACGTTGGCATGTAACCGTACACAGTCCAATCCGAATTCAGGAAACAATGAGTGAAAATTGGCAAGCATGACTTCATCAGTGACGTGCGGTGAACTCGTGGTATCCACTATACACAAACTGGTCAAAATTAAGCACAGTGTCATTCTGAGAGACACATTCGGAATCCTCTACTACGGAAAAAAACTAGGCTTCTTAGGTACATCGAGGCACGGAGACCATTCGAAATTTCTATCCCCAACTGTACACAGACTGGATAACTTATCATTCTATTGTTACCTGGGTACTAAATGTTGACTGCGATCGTTCTTGGCTTATCATTCTGTATTTTCTGACTGTATGTCAACGATCACCTAGACTTCGGTATGCACGTGTACAGACGCAGCGAAATGATCTACCTTACAGTAAACAAACCTGTGCGTTAGTATCTTCATTCAAATATTTCAATGAATTTGATTAACAACATTGATCAACAACCGTTCATTGGCCGAACGGTTGTAGTCCCAATGTTTCAAGTCTTTCTCTCACTGTGTAACTTTATTCAGTGTTAGGTGTTGAAGTGACTACACGTGTTTTGGAGAAAACGAAATAGACCAAGCGAATTTATATCCTTCCAATGTTTGCTGCATTGCACGTAGTAGAAGGTAAACTTTTAGGACGTCAGTTGTGGCTCAAAAGGGATGTGTTGATGGCTCTGTGATCTAGTCTTGTAGCTGAGTTCAAAATCACATTGACTAGGAAGTCATAAGTTCGAATCTGTGGTGGCCTGCTGCCAACTAAAACATTTACCGCGCATAGCATGATTGACCGCACACGCATGTGCGCACGTATACGTCCCGGGACGCACAAGGTCGATCCCCCTAAGCGAATCAAATATCAGCTTTGATCGGTCCCTATTGACTGGTCCGTTGACTGACCAGCTTGACGGTATTCTGCATTTTGGTAACACGTGCCTACTGATGCGTAGACGCCTTGCTTCCTCACCGGCCTGCTGATCGGCTACATGTACGTCCTTGCACTGAAAATAGACGAACTACTCAATTCACCGCCTACTTATTTATTCGCTTTGATTGGGCACAGCAAAATCCTATACCCGGCATCCAACATTTCTTCTCATTAGCGTAACCAGGCCGCGCCTAACCGGCGGGATCCAATCATTTTGTGAATGATGATTATTCATTTGTGCTCGTTAAAAGTGGAGGTAAATAGACGGTTGGGAACACTGTTTTCCCGTCACAAATTTAAACAGAAGGTATATTACGCACTTGTCTAAGTCATTGTCTATATTACCGACCGGATACCAACGACATCGGCGAAAGAACGATTGTCTCCTCTGCCAAATCAAATTGTGGTGAACAATCCAGGTATGAATGCTCGGACATCTGCATAGGCAAGACAGAGAGTCAGATAGTCACCGAATGATTCCTGGCTTTCACCCAGACGGCCCGGGTTCGACTCCCGGCGCGGGAGCGCATTTGGGCGGTGGTGGTCCGGTGGTAACGTAACCAAATCATCACCCCGAGGTTCTGTGTTCGAACCCAACCACCACCGCCTGACTTTCCCCTTCGTGTGCTGAATGGCAGCCCTCTGATTGGCCGCTTCCCTCTTCCTGAAAAATTGTTGTATCTTTGTATATTCAATAAAAGGAAGTAAANATGATTCATCATCTTCCATGGTGGCCCGGTGGTAACGTCACCAAATTATCACCCCGGGGATGTGTTGGAACTCCACCGCCACCGCCTGACTTTCCCCTTTGTGTGTTGAATGGCAGCCCTCTGATTGGCCGCTTCCCTCTTCCTGAAAAATTGTTGTATCTTTGTATATTCAATAAAAGGAAGTAAAGTGAAAAAGAAAAAAGAATGGCCAAAACCACCCGGTGTGGCTTAAGAAAGTTTGTATTCGTTACATCATCAAATGAAATCTTCGATGACACAACACTTTTTCGAACAAAAAATATTGTGTTACTCCAACCCACGCAATTCAGGTCATCTGCAACACAACAAACAGTATTTTTATTGATTTGAGCTGACTCTCATTCGGACTTCACCTTCACACACAATTCATCGATTCAACCATACGCACTCGGAAGCACCAGAGTCGTGCTTCACCCTTATTGCAGTGCATATGCACCGTCCCATCCGGGATTGGAACTGCGGACCCATCGCATGGAAGGCGTGTGTGTTACTACTGTGCCAACCAGCTCACACCGTGGCTGAACCAAATTGCCTATTCATGTTTGTTAAGGTGTCATCTTCAGTGACAATCAGCTAATTTGACCAGACAGCAACGAAGGGAGACACAGATGACAATCTGTTAACTTCAATCGAAAGCCTCCAGTAAGAACGAAACTTGAGTCTAGACTCAAGCCCAATATGAGCTGACAAGAGAGCATCACCTCCCGAACTTGTGTTGTTCGATTCCCGGCCTAAAAGACTACACCTTTCAGATGAGTCTTCAAAAAAGGAGACAGCTGTGCGGTACCTTTTGTTGACTATCAAATCCATATCAGATATGATTAACTATTTCTTGTCAAAGTGTGCTGCAAGTAACTATATTATCTCGAACAACAACCAGGACGCTCGATAACCTGAATGTGTTCTCAGAACAGTTCAACTTGCTATGGATAATAACACACTATCGGGGAACAGCCATAAAATGAATTTCATTCAATTATCAACAAAGACTATTGAAAAGCTGATAGATTCCTTATAAGGATTGACTATTAGGTGATTCATGTGATTCATTGAAAGCTCGAATTGATACATCTCCAGGGTAGTTCACCTCATTAGAAATCACACTTTGCAATGAAATCGCCTTATGCTCATTCAATAGTAGCGAATCAAATGATCCAAGCAACACAATCGGTAGTTCTAGAAAACCCACTTTATGGTGACGGGGTTGGTTGATACTGAGATGTACAACGATTTCTGACTAACTTAAAAGAATGACATGATTTTTCGATGGTGGAAACATGCGCTGAAACGAATCCAGACAATGTTTTGAGATCACCACCCTGCGTGTACGTGAACGAACTGTCTGTGCATGCAATTTGCTAATAATTTCTCTGATCCAACTTGATACATGAACACTAAGGTGTAAATTTACCCGACGATGGCGACATAGGGTTAGTATAAAATGAAGGACATATTGGTGAAGAGAACGTGCTCTTTTCCTTTATTTTATTTTCATTTTACTTACTTTTTTTCAGGAAGCGGCCAATCAAACGGGGTTGCCATTCAACACACACACACACACAATGGGAAAAGTCAGGCGGTGGTGCTGGTGGGATTCGAACACACACATCCCCGCTGGGTGATAATTTGGTGACGTTATCACATAGGTACCACGCTTCGGCTTTGCACGAGGAGCGAACAGCTATGAGACACACCGAAATAGTCCGTGAAGCGGTAAAAGTACACACCCCAAAGAGATCGATTATTTGTTTTGCATCCCGTCTGACTTGTGCACGAAAATCATACACTGGTAATGGTATCATTGCTGAATGCTATGGGAATAACCAGATGACCAGGTCAGTTTGGGTTGAGGCCATCTTCACGTCTGACCTTAACTATGCCACCCAGGACCGGGTCAGTTGTGCCATCCATATAGTCGATTATGTGAACAAGACAGTACCAGTCCACCCACGCAAAGAGTGCGCGCACAAACCTTCGGGCCTGGACGCCTGCGTGCACGCAGGCACGCACGCACGCATGTGTGCTACCAACACGATCAAGCATGCGCACGAAGCTCTGCGGTATTGGCTAGAGCTTCAAACTGGTCACGTGACAGCGCGTGTAGATCGTGTGACAGTTCCACGTGGCGCAGACTTGTTGACCGCCGTATCGGTTTGCCACACTGCACGATCTCTCGCGCTCNGTGTTTCTGGTAAATTTACCAACCGGATCGTTTTTTGAATGCATCTGCCGTGATCGAATATGCACATGAATGCGATCGATTGTGTACCGTCAGAATTGTTAACCGAAGTATTCACTTATTTGTCCGCGTCAGATTTGATCTCTTGTTCCCGTGTGTGTCCCCAATGGAACGAATTGGCCCAACAATTTCATCTCTGGTCTAGTCTCTATTGGAAAACTATGCCATATGTGTCTTGGCTTGATAGTGCAATGGTTCGAAATATTGATCAAAGTGGTGTAGAGGAAGTGACAGATGTGACGG